AGGAATGGTTATTGATAGGGCCTGGTTTAAATAGTAGGACCAGCTCAATAATAATGTGGGCCCAACTGTGGCAGGGGCCACCATTTTTACGCCAAGACCGTGGTGCTCCCCTCCCCCCACCACCACCCCTTCCCCCCTGATTGCTCCTGTTTGATGATGGCTTCTGCAGGCTGAGGAAAACATTCCCCAGCCAAAAACAAAAGCCTAGCAGCCCAGGGACCTGGGGAATGGGTCGCAAAAGGGACAGGGTTAGGAGAGAGCTTGGGGATGATTAGGGGAGGGGCTCTTTGCTCATCAGGGTAGGAGAGGTTTGGGACTCCTGGAGGCTGACTTGCTAGATGACCCTGGCACCGGGGATGGGCTGTTTGCTCCTCCATACATGAGTTCCCCCCGCTTTGCACCCAGTGCCCCCATTTTTCCATCCAGAGAAGAAAACAGCCCCTCCCCTGCCCAGTGTCAGGGCCATCAGCCAGGGCAATCCCCAGGCAACCCCACCCCCCGCCACACCCCACTTTTCCCACCTGGCGGAGCAAAGAGCCCCTCTCCTAGGATCATCCGCAAGCTCTCTCTTCCCTGTGTCCCCTTTGCAACCCCTTCCCTCCTCCCCTGGGCTGCTAGGCTTTTGCTGCTACCTGGGGAATGCTTTCCCCAGACTGCAGCAGCCATTTGTTTGCAAAGGAATGCCATATGGGCTCCCCAGCAAGTTTCAGTATCATGACATTTCATTGCAAAATACATTTTTTTGTGAAAATCACTTAATTTCATGACTTTCACAAAATACAAAATCATGTTTTAAACCAGTTATCAGTCAGTGTACCCTGCAGAACCCACTCCAGCCCACCTCCAAGATCTCAGACTCTGTCACTGGGTTTTTGGTTGTAGCCGTGTTGGCCTCAGGACATAGGCAAGCAAGGTTCTTTGAGCAGATGTGATATCTTTTATTAGACCAACTGAGTAGTTGTAAAAAAATTTATTTTTCAGAAAATTTTCAGAGACTCTCTGTCAAGAAGCTGCTTCTCTCAAAGTAGAGATAACGGCTCATCTCCCAAGAAAACTCAACACTTATTT